CAAAATTTTTCCAAAGATTCATAGCATGTAAACAAATATCACGAAATACTTTATCTTTACATCCTTTATCTAAAATAAACTTAAATTATATTAATAAAAATATAAATTTATAAAAATTTATATATTTTTAAATTCAAAAATAAAATATAATTAATCATACCTCTATATTTAGAATGTAAAAAATAAACAAGAAGATATGTTAAAATATCAAATTGTTTCCAATACTTATTATAAATTTTGATACATTGTGTTTTAAAATTAGAATCTGTAATATTAGAAATTTTTTTAATTGCAATTGCCATTTTAACTAATTCTAAAAAACATAATGCTATATTGCTTGATTTAGTTTCAACTGCTTGAATTGCTCTTTTAGAAGGTGCAAGAATTGTTTCTAATTGCTCTACATTTTGCCAAAATTGATAATTACGAAGAATATTTTTAATATTTAAAGCATCTTGAAAAATTTCTGATTGATTTTCAAGAACCTAAACAAAATATATAAAATTATTAAAATATCAAAAAAATTTAACAAAAAAATAAATTTTAATTTACATTTTTAAGACTTCTTTCTAATCTAATAATTGAATTACAGCAATCCTATGCAGTAGACCATCTTGTTTTTACTGAAGTTTTTAATCCTCCACCTTTTATAAAAGAATTAATAATATCTTCTTGAAGAGCAGCACCAGCATGATAAGAATTTTTAAAAAATGTTATTAAAGCTTGGCATTTTTTAAAAATTGCTTTAGCAAAATCTAATTTAATAATATGTGAAGTAATAAGATTAATATGGTGAGCTATACATCTAATAGGTAATATATAAGGATATTTAGTAGAAATTATTTGTTTTGCTAATTGCATAGCTGATTCTGCATCTGAAACAACAGCTACAAATTTTTTAGAACCAATTGAATTTAAAACTTTTTCAATTTCAGAAGCATTAAAAGAACCTGTATGAGATTTGCTTGATTCATCAACTAAAGCATGAATATATTGTTTTCTACTAGGTGTAATAATTACAAAAGCATAAATAGATTTTCCTAAAGGGCTACACCATCCATCTATAGCTAATAAATAATAAATTATATTAATATAATTAAAATAATAAATAATAAACTTAAATATATTATTACCTAGTGTTAAATTATTTTCATGTTCAAGTTCCTTATTAATTTTAATTAAAACAGTAGAAATTTCTTGATTTAAAATAGTTGATGAAAGCATTTTTCTTTCAGGAGGGATATAACCAAGACAAAGACATTGAATAAAATCTATAAAATATGGATGATTAATAGTGGAAAATGGAATACCACAACATATAAAAAATTTAATTAATGCTTAATCAATTCTATTTTTTTTGCTTTTTTCAATTTTTGTTGGTGATTCATAAAAATTTGTTATTAATTTTTTAGAACTACTATCATCTTTTTTAACTTTTTTATTAGAATTATCAGTAGCTAATAATTCTAAATATT